GTAATAAAAGATGGCCTTTACTCTCAGTACGGCTAAGTCACTTTTCATCCTTCCAGCCTAATAACTGCTCCCCTTTTATGTGCTAATGGAGTTGTTAGTATATTTTGGACCTATTTTTTCTATGATACATTATGGTCTTGTGGATTTTACAAATAATAAGTAGTTAGTGATTTTGCCCCTGTTATATTACGTTATGATGCTATATCTTGTGATGCTTTTAAGTTATTGAGTGTGAGAAGCATGGGGGTAGGGGCGCCTGATCTGACCGCCGGATGCGCGTTAATCCCAATGCAGGAAAAAAATTTGCCAAACGATGTTTTAATTGTTACCAGGGAGGGGCAGCAACATCAATTTTAAAAGAATAGCCCACCGTGGTACGGTACGTTGGGCGGCATTTTTGTGGGTGGAACGTTGGATACAGGCGACCAAAGGATACAGGTAGCCAACATGCATAAAGTCCCCTTGCCCCAACGAATCTGCTTGGGGATTTACAAATATAAACTGTATTTGTAGTGACCACCTCTTGAGTCCACAGACACATTCTTCATGCGTTCTTAGACTCCAAGTATAAAGTTGATATGACCCTTTCAAAATATGAAATTGTTTTCAAAGTTAATGCACTGTCAAGAGAGGAATTATATAGGTTGAGATTAAAACAGTAGCAAGATAATCTCTTTTAGTAATGTCAAATGGTTTATTTATAAAAGCTAAAGATTATTTCTATTAAAACAGACAAATCCCTGAGGAAATGAAGTATTTATTAGTGGTAGTGGTTAATAGTTATCCTGTTAAACCCCACATCTGTCTTTGGACGTTATTGAGGGTATCAGAGATCTGGATTTTGGAGACTATTTGCAGGAGCTTAATGTCACCAAAAACCAGACTAGAATCCATTTTCTAACACATTTAACCCTGAACAGTACACCTTCCCGGACTGATTAATCTGTACACCTGGGGTTCGCGCGGACCCCAAAACAGTTTTTTGCTAATTTTTAGAAATTATCAACATACTACCAGCTCAATTGCTTTGCAAATTGATGTGTGAACCTCTGAGTTCACATTACGTACAAAAATCATACATTTTGAACTTTTCTTTTTTTTTTGTCAAGAAAAGACAAAAAGAAGAAATACCCGATTTTTGAACCCTATTCAGACCGAGTGTTTTTTTTGAGGCCCGCGCCAACTTTAATCTCAAATAGCGTATGAACGGCTTCAACTAGAACCATGAAATTTTGTGGACACATCTAACATATATCTGAGAAAAATTTCACATTATTTAAATAAGTTATTGATTTTTTGGGTTGCCATGGCATCGGGTTTCTGACAGGCAGTTTTATGAGAAAAATCAGTAATTTTGGCTTAAACATTAAAATTTTCTGGGTTTTATATAAAATAACTGTTCCTTTCTGACATTAATAATATCTTACATAATTAACGATCAGTTAAATCATTCAATATTAATAATATATGCTAATCTGATTACGTCATTGGTCAAAATCCAAGATGGCGGACCATATTATTAGCTCTGACGTCATAATTACACCAAAGTTGTTAGAATTTAAACCATTATCTGAAAGGTCGGTTGCCATAAGATAAGTGCATAAAAATCATATAAAAACGGAAATAAAGTAATGTATAAGAACGCCAGTGTATGATTACGATCGAAAGCTGGCTGGGGCCCGCGCGGACCCCAAAAGAAAATCAGATATAAAAATTTTTAGAAATGGGGGAAACTGAGTTTTTTGCACTGTATTGAGGGACAACTTTGTGGGTTACAATTAGCTGAAATTGCAGAAAAAATCTTTAGAAACTCGCGGACCCCAGGTGTACTGTTTAGGGTTAAAACAATGTAATACACACGCTGCTTCCTTTTCTAGACGGTATTATCAAATTTGCCATTTACAGCCTCAGAGTTCCAGGTAACTCACCTGGGATCAGCAAAGAATCTCCCTGCAATGATTCCCCACTAGGTGGGAAGAGGGTAATTATCAAACAATGGGCAACATGTGAGAAATTTTAGTCCAAGTGTGGTGCTATGTGTTGCAGAGGAGCCAAGACCCACTTTGCAAGAATTTTTCCGAATGATTTAACCTTACTAGTTTTTTGAAAATTACAATAAACCATTATTCTCTTTTTTAATTCATTTGCATTAGACTGGCCTCAGCATGGCGACACAAGTTTGTAGATGTCCCGCTGCGGTTCTGGTTCAGGAAAGAATATCACTCCATGTTGGAGACAATTTCTTTAAACACGTCGATTCCAAAGGTATGGACATGCTTGGTTGGCCGTCTTAAACTTTGACTCTATTCAGACAGGGCTTTTTTGTCATGCTGTGTTTGTGTGTGTTTTTGGGTGGGGGTGGTGAGGCTCTCCCCTCTAACCCAAGAATCAGTTATTGTAGGGCCACTAAATTTTCCCAGAATAGCGTAGTAGTAAAATTAAATGATAACAAGAACTTTGATGTAATTATGACGTCATATTAATACGTCATTTATGTTATTTTTGAGATAAAACCGTCAAAAATTGTATTTTTTCGTTAAACTCGGAGGAATACAACCAAATTTTACAAAAGTGTCCATGCTACAATATTGAGACTTTTTTGGCCAGTAGCAAAACATTGACGTCAATATTTTATGACGTCATGCGTATTTAAGTTCTTCGCCATCTTGGAACGTCAGTCTTGAAATTTTAAATTGCTTTTTTTTTATTCAAAGCGCAATGCAAATGGAGTCAATGTGTTCATAGAAACGTTTTATGAGAAAAAATACAAAGTTGCGATGAAAAATTAGTAAAAAATAAGTTACTCCAGAGCTACTGATACGGTCCGCCATCTTGGATTTTGACCAATGACGTCATCAAATCAGCATAAACTATGAATATTTATTGACAGAAATTATTTATAATTTTAAGAGCTGTGTAATTATAAGATATGCTATTATCTTTAAAAAATATGCTTTAACCAACATTACTGAATTTTCCAAAAATTGCCTGTCCAAAACCCGTTGCCATGACAAGACATTCCATTGACTTATCTAATTTATATGAATTCTGGGTTAGTTTTTAAGAGATTAAGAAATGATTCTGGTCCCCCGGTGGCTTGTTATCATACTACTTGGAACTTTAAGTTTCTTTACAGAGGCTTCGGAAACGCCAACAGTATTTAATGGGTTCATAAAGTTAAGTCTTTTGTGGTTTCATATCTCATTTGCTTAATAATCTGAAAAAAAAAAGATTCGTCTGTCATTAAACTTGATATAATTTAGCGAAGGTATGAGTTTTTTTTCTTTTTTTCCAGCCACACATCAATACATCAAATAAAAAAGATATCGGCAATGAAACATATCCTATTGTTCCATTCCTGGCCTTCATCAAAGCGGTGGGAACTAACAGAACTGACTGGCAAAATCCTCATTGGGAACAAATATCCGATCTCTGTGCTCCATGTCAGGTAGGCAGTTTTCTAAATACATTTTACGTTAAATAAGCTAAACTCCATTTTTTCTCTCCTAAAACCATACTTCGTAAAATTTGATATGGTATAAGCTAAAGATATGTGCTTGTAACTGACGTGTTTGAAAGTTTAATATAGATATACGTTTGTCCACACTCCCTAAAAATAATGACTATCTATTAGATACGAAACGACGAGAAACACCGGGATTTGAGTCTGACACCTTATGTTCATTAGGAGAAAACCGTACCGAGCTGCCGAACTCGCAATTGTGCACTGACAGAAACTAGTATCAGTCCTTCATAAAAAACAATCATTTGCGTTAAATACCAGATACAATACCCTAGTTCCCCGCGAGCTAATTGTAGTGTCGGTCATCTTTGATTTAGACTAATAGTGTCATCAACTTTTAATTTGAGTCTATTTTGCAAATTTAAGCATATATGATGTGATTACTACTGGTGTATGTATGCTTTGTTCCAAGACAACAGGACAGATTATGCTGAATGGCAGGGAGTTTTTTTTAACTACTGTACATTTACAATTGAGTTTGGTATATTTACACGACGTGAGCATACAGATTCTTTAGACCATTTTTAGCAATTTAAACACCATTTAATAAGTACATTAATACTTACAGATGGTGTATTTATATTGGCAATCATCTGAGCTGGAATGGCCGAGTAAAAGAAATTTAGTGTCAATTATAAAAATTATCCCGAAAATGTCTACTTTGCGTTACTTCTATTGCTATTGCTAACCCTTCAGATACTTTGAATTTGAAGTAAAGTGGCAAACCAATTCATGTATGTTTTACGTTCATTTTTTTAGATTGCCTACGACTTCATAGCTCACACGGAGACCTTGGCGGAGGACTTCCCTCTTTTCTTCAAAACCGCTAGAATAACTGGCAAAGACAACCTTCTCCCAGATGTGAGACAAAGAAAAAGTGAGAAACTGTTCTCAGACTTTTACAGGCCGGTCTCGATTGAAGACCTTCGACGGGTCAAGGAAAAGTTCAAGAAGGACTATGATATGTTTGGATACTCTTTTAATGATGATATTAAAGGGATGTTCTAGTAGTTGTGTCCAGGAAAGCAGAAAAATATATTTAAACCTACTATCACTTAAGGTCAACAACACAAAGATTGACAAGTTGATAATTAATAAACATTGCCTTCCTTTACGTAGAACTGAAGAGGTTTTAGGCAACCATGGTAAGAAGGAAAATACAACATAATTCAATCTTACTTAGTTAGTGAGCATATTTTCTTAATTGATATAGCATAACAACTTGGTGTCTAGTGGAACATAAACTTGATATCTTTCATATAAAGTAGGTATATATCTATTCGTGTTAAATATAGCAGTGTGAATCCATATTATTTAAACCTATTTTTTTCTAAGGTCACGTTCCTTTAATTAAGATCCCTTTAACAATGCACGAACGTCGTAATTATGCAAGAGTGTTGTCATCATCTCTGTTGTTATTGTTTTGTACACTCGGCTCAGATTCTATCAAATATGTAAACTTTTAGAGCAAATGTCTGTAAGAGTCAAACAATGGTGGCACCGGTCAAAAATTTGATTTGGCTCATTTTTGCACAGTGATAGTACTTGGTACATAACCCTTCAAAATAGCTTTCTATTTGCTCGAAACCCCCCGTTGCCATGGCAACGGGCCAAAGAAGTTTTCAGGCCATTTGTCCAGATTTTGGCATGTAGAAAACATGGAAATTGGCTAAATTCAGGGCAATAGAACTTATCAGTGCTTTAGAATAACGACAAGAGCAAATTGTACTGACCAGAGCAATGCCTAAACTTGTATGATTTAGCAGTAAAGTCAATGTTCAGTAAAATCTGAGGTCTCGGGCCCTCTGAATACAATACACAGTTTTAATGGTGTAAAAAAGTTGAAATTTTGCCCAATTTTGAAGCACTGTAAGTCCCCAAAGGGAAGAATGTTTTGCTTGAAATTTACACTGCTTAATGAACCACTACAGAGGTATCAGATGAATGCTTGCAAAGTTTGGGTTCTTGTTTCGTTGCTACGCACTTGTCCTTTAAAGTGGGTCAGTTTTCATTATTTTGATAATATGTCATTTTGTCCTATCTTTGAACTGTCAAATATTCCAAACCAAATTGGTTCTGTACTTCAAATTTATATGTAATGTAAAACAATATATAGTCTATAGAATGCATACTTGCAAAGTTTGGGTTCTTGTTTCGTTGCTACGCACTCGTCCTTTAAAGTGGGTCAGTTTTCATTATTTTGATAATATTTCATTTTGTGCTATTTTTGAACTGTCATAAGTTCCAAACCAAAATGGTTCTGTATTTGAAATTTATATATAATATAGAAAAATATGTAGTCTATGGAATGCATACTTGCAAACTTTGGATTCTTGTTTCGTTGCTACGCACTTGTCCTTTAAAGTAGGTCAGTTTTTATTATCTTGATAATATGTCATTTTGTTCTATCTTTGAACTGTCATAAGTACCAAACTAAAATATTTCTGTACTTGAATTTTACATTCATTTATATTTTTTAGAAATTTTAAGATTGATGATTCAAGATGGCAAATAGTTTAATATGCATGACGTCATTTTTGACGTCACTGGTGTTGCTATGGGCAACATAAGTCTTAGTACACCCTAATATTCTATCTGTAAACACTTTTTGTTAAAGTCACGTTGTATACCATTTGGTTTTTAGGGAATATTCTATCTGTACGGTTTTGGCCAATAAAATCACATTAATGACGTCATAGTAACGTCATATTACGTGATAAAGACATCAAAATTGTTGTTACCATTCTTTTAAAATAGTACACCATCATCTAAAAAATTGGTAGTCATACGATATACCTTTTGCGAGTTCTGAAGGGGGCGAGGCGAATGAGCCCTCCCCCCGGTCCCACGAAGCCCAAAAAAGCCTGGTCTAGAATAGATATGGTTAGTGTTACTCTCACTTCCACCTGAGCGTGTGTGAAAAGGTTACTAATCACACTGCGCAATCATCGGATCATCCTGCATAAGTTATGGGACAGTGCCGAAGTCGCGCGGAGGGAGCCTAGACCCTGCAAATGTGCATTATTTGCTGAGATGGGCGGGGGGTGGAGCGTCCAAGACTATCTTCCTGACCTCGCTCTAGAAATCCCGCATTGCCCATACCTACGGGCCGGCCCCACCGTGCTCTTCGGTGTTGCGGATGTCTCCGAAGAAATGGGTGAAGTGATAAGGCGCGCATGCCTTATATGGGGTTGGTTAATTAGGTTATTACGGATGACCAATAAGAGCGCAGTGTAATTAGGTTACTAATCACACTGCGCAATCATCGGATCATCCTGCATAAGTTATGGGACAGTGCCTACGTCGCGCTGTCCTTACTCCCCGTCCCCGCTAAGGCATGTCACCTTATCCTTTCCTACACTTCCATCTGGAAGTATTTCCCCATACTCATCAACTCCCTTACTACATTCAAAGACTGACATATAATGAAATGACTGGGAACACATTTTATTTCAAACTCACTGATATATACGACCCTTTTCTACCGTGTCCGAAACAGTCCTTGAATACCAGCTAAACCAAATCCGTCATCATGTTGCTGGTGCCCATCGACTTTCCATAAGAGTAAGAATCAACTGTTTTTTTCCCGATTGAGGACATAATCCAAAGGGTTGATAGAGAACTGAGTGTCACTGTGTCAACCTGCGGCACAAATGCTGATATTTGTCAGGGCTTGTTTTCTCCGTCCAAGACCTGATCTTAACTCACCTTTGAGCGTCACCCGGGTACACCTCTTAGGTGCATGACTACTTTCCTATGCTATTATCTGAACTGTATGTTCTCCTGGCCTCAGCACTTATGCGCACGGACGTCATAACATATCACCATCCTTATGAACACACACTCTGCCTCTCTCTGTTCCGATCACGTGGCGGGCGAAGACGCACTCAGAAGTAGACCTTTGGAGCGTTTCTCCCTCGTAACTTCCCCGTCTCTTATAATACGGTATTAGAGAGAGCGTTAAAATGGAGGTTGATTGTGTACGACTTTCCCCATCCTTATACATGGTTCAATGTACACATGACCAGAGAAAACATCCTCACAATTGATAGCCGTCTGCTCAGCAATGAGGAGGTGCCGATCTAAAGCCCTTCCTGACCTGTACGAGTGATCCCTCCAATTCAGTGTACATGTTTATCCCCGAACAAATGTATAAAATTTCCCCTTTCTCAATTTTTCCTCCCATACCCAATTCGTGCATAGAGATCCTAATAACAATTTGATTACATCGTTCTTGTTCTCCCTAAGGAACAGTATTATGGCCCAGGACTGTCTGGGATATTCTTGATCTCTTGCCAATGCACACAGCCCTCTTGCTGACTTTATCCACGGTTTGAAATGCACTTGCACAACTTGGCTGGGATATCATCGAAACCATGGTTTCTGGCTCACATAAGAGCGGCCACCATCTGGTGTGTTGGGTCACGATCTGTTGAGCCCAGGCGGTGAGCCCATCTCAACAATTTCAACATCGTGAAGTTGATCAGGTCTTATAATCATTATGGCTAAGAAAATCACATAATACAGTACGTATAAAGGAGCCAGACGAAAAATATAGGAGTTCCGTCGTGAAAAGGAAATTCCCTGCGGAGCTATTCAGTAAGTGGTGGGGATCATACACAGTCGTCACCCGTTTCAATTTCAATATGAACTCGCCGTACCTCCTACGCAATCGGTCACCCCACCGCTCAGTAAGGTGAGCTGCTATTATTCGACCTCATTACGCATCTCCCGAGCGTACGCAGTTGCGTAATGCAGCGCATTTATACACGAGCGGGGAAGTCTTCACAATCCAAATCATACGGTGTACAAGCCGATACCTTTCTATACCACACAGTGATTCAAGAATTTGTCTGCACTACTTTCTGCAGCCGCGTCATATAGACCCCCGGGGTCGTCCATAAATACTGTGTTCTGCGACCTTAAAACGTGGTAAGGGACGCTCAAGTGAGGCCTCGCCGACACTAACATACACTGTGTAAACCTTGCCTTGCTCATACGATGTACCCTACTTCTCGACCTAATATCATTACGTGTTTTCACTAGTGCTTTACAAGCCCATGGTTTACAAGCGGTCCTCGTCAACCTGACGGACGAACGACTCCACAAGCCCATGACTAGAAACTGAGAACACAGACTGTCATTGCATGGGCGACGTAAATCCAGATACGCTCCTCACGTGTCCTATCGCTGGGCTGTCCACCACTTAACTCACAAAACGCGGTTGCAAAGACAAGGAAGATAAGCGGTGCAAACCCGCTAGCGTGCTGAAAACCACATGACGCAACCTTTTATGAGATCTCTACTAACCAAACACACTAACGACGTGTTTATTCTTGTGATGATGCATCATGTTAAATTAACGCGGCCAACATCACTTTTAAACTCTGACCTTGAAAGGACTCTCGCCCATCACTTCTGCGGATTGCGTCCATGGCTCCGGCGTCAAACCAGCGCCCTCGCTAAAGCTATGGATAACTGGTACATACTTGGTATTGATTGCCATCGATCTCTAGCGTTTATCTGGTGACCTCAGCTTGTCACCTCGTTGTACCACCGGTTACTGAAAAATCTCGTGAATATCCGCACACCCTGTATGCTAAACCTCCACCTGGAGACCACCTTGTCACCTCGTTGCACCGCCATGTTATGGTACATCAAATGAAATATCCGCACATCCTGTGTGTTTGAAAGTACATTGTACGCGTTCACCCGGTGATCATCTTGTCACCTCGTTACACCGTCATATTGCATTATAATCTAGTGAATATCCACAAACCCTTTGTGTGCGCTACGTCTTCGCCTGGTGACCATCTCATCGCCTCGTTGCATCGCCATGTTACAGTACAACCTCTAGTGGAAACTCTTTGCGCTAATTTTCACTAGGTGACCACCTTGTCACTTCGTTACGCCGCCGTGTTACAGAACAGTCTAGTGGATATCCACACTCCCCATCCCTTTGTTGTGCTATGCGTCTTCACCTAGAGACCATCTTGTCACCTCGTTGCACCGTCATGTTACAGGACAATGTAGTGAATATCCGGGCGCAAGTCCTTGTACTAAGTCACCCAGTGACCACCTTGTCGCCTCTTTGAACTGCCGTGTTACAGTACAATCTAGTAAAATATCCGCAAGACTATTTATGCTAAACCTTCACTCAGTGACCACCTTGTCACCTCGTTGTACCGCCGAGTTGCAGTACAATCTCGTGAATATCCTCAAACTCTTCGAAGTCTTTGTGCTAAACCTTCACTCAGTGACCACCTTGTCACTTCGTTGTACCGCCGTGTTGCAGTACAATCTCGTAAATATCCTCTAACTCTCTGTGTTAAACCTTCACTCAGTGACCACCTTGTCACTTCGTTGTACCGCCGAGTTGCAGTACAATCTAGTGAATAGCCACAAACTCTTTGTGCTAAACATTCACTCGGTGACCACCTTGTCACCTCGTTGTACCACCGAGTTGCAGTACAATCTAGTGAATAGCCACAAACTCTTTGTGCTAAACATTCACTCGGTGACCACCTTGTCACCTCGTTGTACCACCGAGTTGCAGTACAATCTAGTGAATAGCCACAAACTCTTTGTGCTAAACATTCACTCGGTGACCACCTTGTCACCTCGTTGTACCGCCATGTTGCAGTACAATCTTGTGAATATCCGCACTGATTTCGGCCTTCACGCCCCTTGCGCATAGGCAAAAATTTGCATACAAAAAGAGATTGGCGCCACGTGCAATGCTCCTGCACGTGCGTTCCAAATCACAGACAACCAATATTAGCATTAGAAACCAGAGCAAGCACAACACCGGCAGTCCCGGTTCTAAATGCCCAAACTTTACACCAAACTACACGAAAGCTGGTTAATCACAAACCGCACCGAAATCCGAGAAATTCCAAATCAACAATACAGCAGCAACGAAACAAATGGCTAACCACAGTAAACCACGTCAGCGAAGAGACGATGCTGCAAGTATTGCCGGGGCCTGAGGCTGCCGCCTGCCGCTTGAGGCTGTCCCGGCTCCGACGCTCGAACTGAACTTCGCCGCTGCCCCGCGGCGTTGGCTGGACTTGAGTTGTGGGTCCTGTTGCTCTTCCTGCTGGCTGCTGCTCCGGAATGGGGCGCCTTTTGCTGGGGAGCTGGAGGCTGGAGGCTGGACTTGTCCTCGGCCGGGAGAACTTGCTGTACTCTGCCTTGCCCGGGTTGGTCTCGTTGTTGTCCTACTGTGCGTGGGTTCCTTCCGGCTTCAGAGGTGCTTGGCTTGGTTGCTGGAATCCATACTAAAAGACGACAACAACAACGTGCATGTCAGAACAAGCTCGTCAGACCAAATTTCCCCAACCCGAGCAAGCCTCCGCCACGCGAAGCAGATCGGCTAAGTCGTGGAGCGCTTTGGGAAAACTTGACTCGAGTCGCCCTCCCTGAGTAACACTCAGAAAACAAAATGCTGAAGCCCACCCTTCTAAAAACCCAAACGAGAAACAAAACGTGTCAGAACAAAGAGACGGCGGCCCCACGTGCGCCCGAACTCCCCGAACGTACTGTTACTAAAACAGACCTGGTGAGCACTCAGAAATGCAGAAAAACGTTTGTAAAAGAGAAACGTTACCCTCGCCGCACCCCAAACCTTTTCTTGGAGCAAATTTGCTAGCTGAACGAAGAAATTCTGCACGTGGGGACCGGGAAAAACTGCTGGGCTTCAGGGCTTCACTACGACC